CTCTTGGACGGGGTCCTGGAAGACACGGGCGAGGCATCAAGCCTCATCGACCACAAACCCCAAACTGAGATGTTATCCCGGGGCCTGCAGTGTTCCCACCCTGGGCTGGTGAGGCCTTTACGTGACGACAATAAGTCGATCGAGGCACAGCATTCTGCTGCGCAGCATTCTTAAGCGTGGCATCAGCACCCCAGGACAAGAGAAGGTGGCAAATTGAGTCGCGGCCTCAGATCGATGGCTTCGGGCAGGCTTTCGGAGCGACGGAGAGTACATCGGAGCAGGGCGGGGCTCCTACCTTTTTGGTGAACTCGTGGGGTCAACTCATTCGAAGAAGCCGATCTCCAACCTTCCTCTCCATGAAAACCATCAGCTTGACGGCCTTACCCGTGCCCAGAAAACGCACATTTACCTGAACTCGAACCATAATGTGATCCAGGCCTTGATGGGCTGCCCACATCAGCGGCGTGTCGCCGGCCAAACTGGCAGCGTCGACATCTGCACGTCCCTGAAGCAAAGCAGTTGCGACGCCTTCGTGTCCTGAGCGGGCCAACCCGTGCCATTCCGGTTTCAAAGTTGGCAGTCGCACTGCAGCTGTCGTCGCAAAGCAGGGTTTAGACGGTTCGTGTGCTGACATCTACCTGCGCATGTGGACCAGCACTTCATGGGCTTTTCTAGAGGACGTCTGCCGTTCCGGCGTGTCTCTAAACATGTTGCGGGCTGCAGGGCTCGGAGTTTCAAGCTGATTCCCCAGACTCCGACGCCGAAGCCCAAGAGAGGCTCCGGCCTCTGATGACTGCGAGGTGGAGAGCCGTGAAGCCGTCCTCGAGCTGCGCATGGTGTGGGCAAGCACGAATCCGCATGAAAATGCTGCAGATTGCGACATCATGGAAGCCCCGAGACTGAAATCCAACCAACAAGCAGCCTGCAGACGTCACTTTGTGGTGTCCTCTTCCACCGCATCCACGACCAGAAGCCGGTCCACTGCTGCAAGGCCTTTTTAAGATGTAGCGGCATCGTGCGGGTAATTCATGGCAACTTACAGTGCGGCGCCGTGTAAGCAGATGCCAGCTAGGGCACGGAAGCCCTCGATTCCTCAAAACCTCACCAAGAATGTGAAGGATTGTAAAGGTACCCTGGGAATGACTTACAACACCCCCACAACCTCATGCACCCACGCCCTCACACATGCACACACCCAAAGACACTCACTGACTCACTCCCTCACGCACATCCAGAAATCCTTCACGGACCGGAACTTTTGCCACGCTGGTGTGTCTTGACAAGGCTTTGGCGAACTGTGGTACACTCTGCGTGAAGACCAGATGCAAACGAGATCACGACACGTAGTCGAACATAAACACGTGCGCTTGCCCGAAGTTCTCCAACAAAATACCCAGTCGGGCCTCGTAGCAGCTTCCGCACTTCTAAGAGATTGCCGAGGTAAGAGGCCTGTGCTGGTGCAGTGCCCTCTGAGGCATTCAAGCAAGCCTGACGAAGTGTCGCTCCATGCGAGGCAAGACATGAAGTCTATTCGGCCTATATGATACCCAGCTTTGCTTGCATGGAGAATCAATGAGAATCATCGAGAATAGATACTGCCAACGGCTGTCAGTAGACTCACTCGGCCGAATGAGTGCTCTGGCAGAAGACAAAGCCCTCATCCACTCTTCGAGACCACAATTGCGAACGCAACACCTTTCTTCCATTCACTGAAGCCGTCCGCTCGTCTCTCAGGTTATCTGTGACCTGTGTAAACTCTCAAAATCTAATGCCAATAGTGATGTGATCCGTTGGCTGACGCACCTTCCTGAGCGATGCGCCCACGCGTTGCCTGTCAGCACGATTGCAATTTGCCATGACTCTAGTGGTCGAAGCCAGCCCAAGTCAAAAGTCCAGCGAGCTGAGAAGACCGCGGCAACTCTCACCAAGAGCAGGCCGGGGTGAGCTCCGCTGCGCCAGTCTCAAGGAAAAGCTATAGTGGCATCGAACTCCGAGCAATGAAATTATTGCTCTTTGTTGGGTTTGAAATTTTGAAAACCCCTGGCATGCTCGGGGGGGCGGGGGGGACATGTGCCCGATGTCAACACATACCGGTAGAGGTCTGCACACATCACAGTGCTTACCTCATCAGAAGCCAAGGGAAGGCGCTAAGAAACGTGACTATTTGAGCATTAGCTTGTGTGTGTGTGTGCGCATGTGTTCAGCAAGCCTGCACCGAAGAGCTTGGCTGCGAACTGACACGTGACGTGGAATACTCGTTGCCCTGTCCCTGAAGGGCTGTTCTCAATAACAAATCGCGGCCTTGCCCGGCTTGCTTCTTCTCCCAAGTGGCGACCAGACGCATAAACCACAAATAAAACGCCCTTGGGCTTTGCCTGGGGTTGTGCGTTGGGTTCCGCCATGCCTCACTGCCCGTGGGGATTGCATGCGACATGGATCGTGCGTAAAACAGGCCGTGACAACGTTCGTTTTTCTACGTTGGTTTCCAGCTTACTCGATGACATGTTGGCGGGATGGACAGCAAAATGCCACTTGGAGGCACGAGACCAGCTCCAGTCTTCCCCGCCGCATTGCTAGTGGCCTCCCATTTCCCTGCCCTGCCATGCCCTGCCTGTCTTGCGCGGCCTCGGTCTCGGAGGGCAGACGCGCACGCTTGGTCCTTAGATGAAAACTAGCATAACGGCTGCCTATCCGAAACAAATTGAAGCGAAGGCAAGTCCTGTCGCAACCCCGAATCTTGTCGGAGACTAGGTGTCGCAGCCTCCAAGCCCAATACCCTGGAAAACTGCCTGTCCCAAGAGTGGCAGAAACAGAATTACAAAAAACGGGTTCAGCAAAGCGACAGCAGCGGCACTTGCATGGATGGGCTTGCTTTAGTGATAGACAAAGAAGCATAGATCACACATCTCTCTCCCTTTCTTTCTCCTTCGTATTCCTTTCGTGTCCTTCTTGTCCCAGACCCATATTCCCAACAACAGTCAGCACTCACGGCCCGCATAATGTTGGAATGAGGCTGGTTCGAGAAACTCTGGCCCGAGCGTTTCGCCAAATCCTAGTCTTGGTGATCCGGACCCTTTGGCGCTCAAAAGGTTTCTGAGGCAAAGGAGCTTCGATGCAGCCTCGCTGGCATCCTTCCGCAGCAGTCGGATGTTTAGTGATTTCTTCCAAGATCCACCGGAGGTTTCTTAGACTCTACACATCGCTGGGGAAAAAGCTGCTCCTCGGCAGCTTCTTCCTTCTGCACTTCCTCCAAGAAGGCAGCGAAAGCAGCGTCCAGCGACGTCTCTGCCATGGCTCTGCATGGTGCGAAGTTGGCGGTACAAGTACTAGTACTAGTACCAACTACTAACTAAAGTCTAACTACTAACTGTTTTCTAGCGACTAGCTACTAGTTACCAGTTACCAGCTACTAACTGCTCCTACTGCTGTTGCCACTACTACTACTACTACTACTACTACTACTACTACTACTACTACTAGTACTAGTACTAGTACTATAGTACTACTACTACTACTACTACTACTACTACTACTACCACTACCACTACCACTACCA